CAGATGCCTCACATGGTTCAAACTTGTTGTTGACTCACCGCTTCACAGTACTTGACCTTTACAGCCGAATATTTCACCGGCAATCGAATGCCCATAGAGTAGCATATTAACGATTAATGTCTCAGTTGTTATTATTAGTCGTGTAGTGCCATCTGGTAACATTGCTTCAATCTGAATAGCCGGTAAACCCCCTGTAGATCCTTTTTGTTGGGCGTGACGATGGCGTCTTGCCTCCTCTCGTTGCTTCATCCGTCGTAACCAAAGGAATCTATCGTGGGCCTTCTGGGATTTCCATTTCTTCTTCTTTGCATCCTTTGTCTGAACCGTAAGGAAGTCCCATCTCAATTGGGTTGCCTGACGTTTGGCTTGCTTGTATGTCCTAGGTTCAGCTGTCAATGCCACTTCCAGATCATCAGTTGTCTTCTTCCACGCATTGCACAGCCTTGTCTTCTTCATCAGGCGCCGGACCTTTTGGGAGCTCACACGACATTGCTTGCGTCCTTTAAGGAGTAGCTTCCAGAGGCTCAACCAATCCCAGAAGCCCTGTAATTTGGGAGACCAAGGAACCTTGCCAGATGAGGTAGTGCGACAATTGTCTTCAGCATGCCGCCGTATCATATACATCTGCCAGTGAAGGCAGTTATATTTGCGTGCCAGTGAAGGTGACATCTGTCGTCCATTGGATTCAATGCGCTGATTGAGCTTGGTAAGACGGGACGGGATGTCATACTCCTCGTATCCCAAGTGGGCCAGTTGAAGATAAGGTTTAACCGACCGCTTATCCAAAAGGGTGAGCTTCCGAGGTTTAAAGGTAGACCCCTGGGGTGTGAAATTGCCCAAAGCCGTGTTCAAGTCGATATTGATCCATAGTGCCCTGTGGTCTGATTCAACAAATTCACCAAATGCGTAATAGCCACCAGCCAGAACCGGAACACCTGTAGTGGTAAAAATTCCGTTGATGGGAATGTTGCTTTGATTTTGTTGGTGGGTCGCCGTGGGGGGATGCCGTTTCAAAATCGCTTCCTCCATTCCGCACTCACAAAACCGCTGTCGTATGGAGTCCGGGGAGTTGACCGAAAGGTCTTCATTAGCATCGATCCCCAGCAAAACTTCACAACCCTTGTCCCTCCATTTTTGAATTTGCTTGTACAGGTCATCGACCAATGCTTTGCGCGGATCAATCTTACGTTTTATAGAGTTAAAGTATAGACGTTGTTGGGCCCACACGGTTGATGCCCCCGTACCTTCTCTGTTTGGCCTATATGCCAAGACAACCACTAGATCATGTGTGATTGGGCGTTGGACCGCCTCGTTTACGTCGAGCACCAAGCCGGAGTGATCATCAGCTTCTTTCCTTGAAGACGGACATAAGCCCACCGTCCCAGTCCCGTCGAATCGCTCCCTGATTCTTTAGCTTGGTGCGAGACCTGACTAAGTACTGTCGTGATGCATCCGCCCCATTGAAAAGCTGTAGTTGCCAAAGATCATGACTGATGTTTATTATAAGCGACAGCCAAATAAAAACCTTTGTGCGTTGCCTTCACCGTTGCTTGCCGCATCCTATCATTCCACCTATGACCCTCTGGGATAGAGGGCCAAAACGTTTTGGCCTCCGCCAACAACGCTATTCCCACTCGCTCATCTTGCAGCCACGAGTTGATCTGCCGGTGTTTCACATGATCACCTTCTTCTGGAACACCGTTAACGTTCTGGAAGGTGACGCGAGTAGCTACTGAAGAGCGACAGCGATGGTCGTCGCCAAGGCAGTCTCCTGGTGGAAGAGGGCGTAAATATTCGTCAAGTGAAGCGTGGGAAACAACACTTGACAGGCCACTAATTCGAGATCTTCTGCCTGCACGCCGTGACCTAGCGGCAGACAACCTGGGGCCTCTGATGGCCCTTCCGTGGAGCTAGGAGCTCCGCGGGCAGACTGAGAGGATTTACTGACACCATCACCCATGAATCGATTGTTGTAATTGACAATCTGAATAAATCTATTGTTGCATGTCAATGTGCCGGTGTAGTTGTCTAACAGGGCAATGTATTGAAAACATGGTTGATTCTGAGAGTCTGGATACCGTTCTGCCCATGAAAATAAAGCGTTGCCCGTTTGAATGCAATCCAACCTTGTCAACAATTGAACTGCCACATCTCCTGAATATAATTGTTCTAACCGCCACGCAGAGAGTTTGGGCACCACTATATTGTAATGATCGATATGGCAAGTATCTTGGCGTGCAGCAATTTGTTGTGCCTTCATTTTGTCACCCATTTGTGGTGCTCCTTGTTTGTTGGCGAGTCTCTTGAGATTGACATCATAGGAATGGACAGGACCTCTGTCTTTAGGCTGTTCCAAATCAATTCCCAGTCGTTTTTTCACCAATTGTTTCCCAACAGAATAAGCTTTTGACTTTACCATGCCCAGCTTTGTTGTATTAGCTGAGGCGGCCTGCGGAGCTGGAGATTTGCCCATTTTTGCCAGTGTTTTTTCATTTGATGTTGATACTTTCAATTTTTTTCTACATAAAACCAGTACTAGCGGGGCCTGGACATTTGGCGTCGCGGCTGGAAGTTTCATGTGGAAACTCAGGAGCGCCATGCCACAAATTGTCCCCCCCCTTTGTCCACAAGTGATCTTCAGTGGCATCGCCGCCTCCATGTTTGCGGGAAAAACAGGAGCGCTAGCGCTAAGTCCTCCAAGATCGCTGACTGCACACACACACACACACACACACACACACACACCAGTCCACCATTTGATGTGCCTGTCTTCTATTTCGTCATATCCCAACAAGGGAATCCGAAAACATGGAATTGTGCGCTTGGACCATCAAACGTCTGAGCGCCACAAAAATCCCATACTGAATCCTGCGGGAGTTCTGTACGTTGGTTTTGTACCGGCCTTTCTGGATTGCAAACATCCAGTAAAGGTTTGGGAAATTTGAGTTTTTGTGCAAGGCTTTTGCTTTGCCCATTCCATGTAGATAACAAGTCTTTTAGAATAGTTCTTTTCCTGTAGAGATGATTATTTTGTATTAGACGGATTGGAGATTGCTATGGTCAGTGCCTCCGCATGACGACTTGATGGGTCGCATGTTGGCACGGCTGGTTGGCAATGATGGCTTGATGGGCCACAAAGTTATCAATTGGTTTGGACAACGACAGGCCTGTCACTTGTCTGATGTCCGCCAGAACCAAAATCCAACTACCGGTGCTGCATACCCTTGGCCTCACCATCCAAGACGGCATTGTATGACGCCATCTATAAATGTTTTCAACTTTATAAATGTAGCGATGTGAAAACCACGGATCCTTTGACAATGGGCTTTGGAGACCAGATATTATTTCAAAAAACCTTCTCAAGCTTTAGCTCACAACAAAGAGCTTTGTGGGTCTGATAAACCGTTAAAATGCGCTGCTAGTCAGCCAAAACAGATCAATTACTGGACAAAATATAGACAAGGAAAACTCGTGTCTACCAGACTACAAAACTGCACGTACGGAGGACAGACCACGTACTTCCCAAAATAATGAAAGCACCCCCTGCCACAGGAAGATATGTATTTAACTTGGCCGTCCGCTCATTAATGGAACAGGCCTAAAGGAATAAAAATAGACCGTAAATAGAAAAATTTAATTTGAGTATTGATTTTTCCTCTTGTTAAATGTCAAAAAAATCTTGGTCTGAAAAGCGGTCCCATGATTTTGATTGAGAGGTTTTATTCAATCCTCTAAATATATTTTGATCTCTTCCTCAACCTGGAGGTTGACCAAGATGATCTTCTCTGGATCAATTGATGCCGAATGTTCCTCCAGGTATGCAAAGTGTCTGACACTGTCACCGCTGATGGCAGGTTAATCCGTTGTGCCGCTTGGAATGGAATCAGTGATGAGTGCTGCCGCTCACCATATCAATGGCCACGGTCCGTTCGCCCAACCCGCCAACACTGGGACTTGTGGCAGACCACTTTATCCCAAGCCCTGCTTGCCTCCAATGGGCCACATCACCCACTCTGACAGCCATTGGGTCACTGGACTGATTCTCTGGAGGACTGGAATTGGTTGCTGTCACCCACCACAGGCTTCTTCCACCGCCTTGGGGCAACCTGGAGACATTTTTCTCCTGAAGGTTCCTCTGCAACGTCATGTCGCTTTGCACCATCGCTTTCACCTTCCTCCAGTCCATGGTGGACCGCCCCTCTCCCCACCAATGCTCTTTGCGCTACGGTCCGTCCCATCACTGGGTCTGACTGGGTTCTTCTCACCAGTACTGGTTGTCCCTTTGAAACGGCCCCTACCACCAGCTCATCCATCCTTTAAACTTGGCAATCGGCTGCAGAGCTTTGCACGGACTACTATGGGTGGGTTCCAGACGAGATCGAGATTCACGGTGACAAAGCTACCTACGTGATCCTTGTAAAAACGGCAATGTGAAAGGAAGGCTGTAGTGGCGGGGTCGAGAAGGTCGGGCAGGGAGTAGCGGCCTTCCAATAGTGCCATGGAATTAGCTTCCGCCTGAGCGCCGGTGAATGCTGTATACAAGGGTTCCGCCATAGGTGGAGTGTTATATGGAGCACGCGTCTGGTCGTACCGTGCCGCGTTTTCTTGCATACAACCTTCTTCAACCAGAGCACGGTCGGTGATAGTACGCAGCTGTGGAGTGCCGTCTGGTAATTGTTCTTCAATCTGAATAGCCCGTAAACCCCCTGTAGATCCTTTTTGTTGGGCGCGACGACGGCGTCTCGCCTCCTCTCGTTGCTTCATTCGTCGTAACCGAAGGAATCTATTGTGGGCCTTCTGGGATTTCCATTTCTTCTTCTTTGCATCCGTTGTCTGAACCGTAAGAAAGTCCCGTCTCAATTGGGTTGCCTGACGTTTGGCTTGCTTGTATGCCCTTCGTTCAGCTGCCAATGCCACTTCCAGTTCAGCAGTCGTCTTCTTCCACGCAGTGCACAGCCTTGTCTTCTTCATCAGGCGCCGGACCTTTCGGGAGCTCACACGACATCGCTTGCGTCCTTTAAGGAGTAGCTTCCAGAGACTCAACCGATCCCAGAAGCCCTGCAATTTGGGAGACCAAGGAACCTTGCCAGAGGAGGTAGTGCGACAATTGTCTTCAGCCTGCCGCCGTATCATATACATCTGCCGGTGAAGGCAGTTATATTTGCGTGCCAGTGGAGGTGACATGTGTCGTCCATTGGATTCAATGCGCTGATTGAGCTTGGTGAGACGGGACGGGATGTCATACCCCTCGTATCCCAAGTGAACCAGTTGAAGATAGCGTTTGACCGACCGCTTATCCAAAAGAGTGAGCTTCCGAGGTTTAAAGGTAGACCCCTGGGGTGTGAAATTGCCCAAAGCCGTGTTCAAGTCGATATCAATCCATAGTGCCCTGTGGTCTGCTTCAACAAATTCACCAGTAGCCACCAGCCAGAACCGGAACACCTGAAGTGGTAAAAATTCCGTTGATGGGAACGTTGCTTTGATTTCGTTGGTGGGTTGCCATGGGGGGATGCCGTTTCAAAATCGCTTCCTCCATTCTGCACTCACGAAACCGCTGTCGTATGGAGTCCGGGGAGTTGACCAAAAGGTCTTCATTAGCATCGATCCCCAGCAAAACTTCACAACCCTTGTCCCTCCATTTTTGAATTTGCTTGCACAGGTCATCGACCAATGCTTTGCGCGGATCAATCTTACATTTTATAGAGTTAAAGTATAGACATTGTTGGGCCCACACGGTCGATTCCCTTGTACCTTCTCTGTTTGGCCTATATGCCGAGACAACCACTAGATCACGTGAAATCGGGCGTCGGACCGCCTCGTTTACGTCTAGCACCAAGCCGGAGGGATCATCACCCCCCTGCGCCTTTAGCCTTTTCCCTTGAAGACGAACATAAGCCCACCGTCCAAGCCCCGTTGAATCGCTCCCTGATTCTTTAGCTCGGTGCGAGACCTGACTAAGTACTGTCGCAATGCATCCTCCCCATTGAAAGGCTGTAGTTGCTGAAGATCGTGACTGCTGTTTATTATAAGCGACAGCCGAGTAAAAACCTTTGTGCTTTGCCTTCATCGTAGCTTGACGCATCCTATCGTTCCACCCATGACCCTCTGGGATAGAGGGCCAAAACGTTTTGGCCTCCGCCAACAACGCTATTCCCACTCGCTCATCTTGCAGCCAGGAGTTGATCTGCCGCTGTTTCACATGATCACCTTCCTCTGGAACACCGTTAACGTTCTGGAAGGTGACGCGAGTAGCGAGTGAAGAGCGACAGCGATGGTCATCGCCAAGGCAGTCTCCTGGTGGCAGAGAGCGTAAATATTCGTCAAGTGAAGCGTGGGAAACAACACTTGACGGGCCACTAATTCGAGATCTTCTGCCTGCTCGCCGTGACCTAGCGGCAGACGACCTGGGGCCTCTCATGGCCCTGCCGCGGAGCGAGGCGCTCCGCGGCCGGCCAAAGAAGGCAACTTAGCAGATCCGCTAGTACCAGATTTGCCAGATGGAGAAGAAAGAAAGAACGGGTGTACACCTCCCGGAGATGCCGCTGTCAGAGATGAGAGGCTTTCGTCCTGGGACACAGCTGTCGTAGTATCACCTTCCATCTGAGTTGTGTCCATCTGGACCTGAGACGTGTTCCAAGAGCGCTGCTTTGGCTGCTGAAAGTGAACAGACGTGCTGGCACAAGTTGACTTAGTGGGCGGCTTAAGACCAGCCTTAGACCTATCAGCTCTCCTCTTAGTCGTGGAAGTATCCTTGCTTTTCCTCTTTTTTGGTGGCATGGTGAAATCGGACCGATCTGGAGATACCTCATTGTTTGGAGCAGGTGGACGCGTCGCCTGGATCTCAGATTTGGGAATCCATTTACCCAAGACTCGATCAGCTTGCGTCTCGGTAAGTTCGCACAGATGAGGAATCAAGAACGGAACTATCCCTCTCAACACGTTTCAGGCTAACTGACCGTACTTCTTGCGGCAAACGAAGATGTAAGAGTCTTCCATTTCTCCAGGAAGGATCATCAGGAAGAGTGGTCCTGCCTTATGGCGATCAATATTGTTCTTCAGTTTGCGGTCGGTAGCTTCAGCCAGCTTGCGTTGTGCCGGGGATAGATCTTTGAGAAAATGATTCTCTAGGTTATCGGAAATGAGCGACTTCTTCTTCTTCTTCTTCACCTTCTTCTTTGTCACCTTCGTGAATGGTCCGGACAGGGAACCCGCTCCCTCCTGGGATTCATCGTCCTCCTCTTCAGATGAGTCGTCGTCGGCAGGTGTTGGGGGTCTGTCTTTGGCAGCTGTGGAAGCCTGATCAGCCTGGGCCGGAGTGGCCTTGATGGACAAGAGCAGTTTGAACAGAGTGCAAGAACCGTACAACCTTGTAGTAGCAAACTTGAACATCCCCGTGAAGTCGATGCCTGGATAAAGAACCTCTGTCAAAATGTAGTAATCCCGTAACTTGCTGATCAAGGTAAGGATCGCATCCTTCACCAGACCGTAGGCCTTAACACTCAGCAAACCTTGTTGTGCCGATTTCCAATCACTGATGTAGGTGGCCGGTGCTGCGAATGGAAAGTCAGGTTTTGCAGTTGCTGGGTGGAGAATTGACCTCAAAGTGCG